CCGTCCAATGGCTGACAACCAAGAACTAAGGTACACTCTGTACTCCACTCCCTCATGCAGCACCTGAAAATCCTGGGGCGAATCAAACAGCAAATTAATGCTCAGACAACCCTCACCTGCAAACCACGCACAGTATAAGGAACTCATTTTAATGTTTTTTGGCTGAAGTCATAGGGAATAGGAACACAAAAGAATGGCCATGAAAAATCCTGGGAGGTTCTTAAAGCCCCTTAGTTTGTGGTATGTTTTTCCCCTTTCCAGTTTCTTGTTACTTTGTGCTTAAAAGATAGTGATTTTTTTTCCCTCCAAATTCTGGGTTGTTCAAAGGCCAAGTTGAACACTGAATAGCAAAAAAAAAAAAAAAAAAAGTCTTCTGAATAGTTGTATATATGAAAGGATTCATTGGAAAGCAGCATTTGGAGTTTGACTGAGTCTGTGGAACCCCTTTGGTCCTAGGCTGAGATTCCTTTGCAATGGACAATTTAGTGATTCATGACTCCATGTATTGTCAAGTTGATGAGAAAACCCAAATAGATGAAAATACAACTTACAAACAGATCTTGGATTTTTTTCCGAGTCGAATCTGGATCTTTTTTACAGATACTAAAATGTTTGGTTTGATGCTATGTGCTTGTGTTCCCAAAGAAATCCCAGGAGAAAAGTCTTGGTATTTTAATTTATTTATAATGGGTGTGGGTAGTGGGTTGGGGACAGAGATTGAAAATAACAATCCAAAAACAACAGAGATAGGGGATGTGGATACGTATTCATTTCCTATTGTTGATGTAACAAATTACCACACACTGAGTAGCTTACACTGACACGAAGCTATTAAAATATCTGACAGTTCTGGAGGTCTGAAGCCTGAGAGTGAAGATGTTGGCAGGCAATTTTACGTTTCTTCTGGAGGCTCTAGGGTGCATCCATAACCTTGCCTTTGCCAGCTTCTAGAGATTGTATTTCTTGACTCATGGCCCCTTCCTTCATCTCTTAAAGCACATCACTCTGACTTCTGCTCACACATCCCTCCCCTCTGATTTTGACACCCCTCCCTTTTTCTTGTGTGGACTCCTGTGATTACATTAGGCCCACCTGAATAACCAAGCACCCTATTCCCATCTCAAGATCCTTAATCATACCCAGCAAAATCCACTCCCCCCTTTTTTTCCATATGAGGTAACATATTCACAAGTTCTGGGAATTAGAATGCAGACATCTCTGGGGGCCATTATTCAGCTACCACAGCATGTTTTAAGCTAAACTCTAATTAAATTGCTGATTCTGGGATGTGTGATATAAATTCCTTTTCAGCAAGGGACAAGGCATGTGCTGTCTCTATACCACTGTGAGAATTCTTTTCTAAAACTCAGCTCTGAAATGAGATTGGTTTTGTTTCTAGTTCAAAATACTTTAAGAGTGTCCCATAATGTAAAATAAAATGCAGATATGTGCTTAGCAAGTCATCCATCCATTTTTCCCATATGGTCCCACCGCCACACTTTTATTTCCATTTAAGCCACTTACTCACCCTGTGGTGCATTTGCTTTCCCAAGAATCATAAGCTACTCCCTCAGCCAATTCTTCTAATATGTGATCAACATGCAACCCATTCTATAAGAACTACTCATATCCCACCAACCACCATAAAAGGCTTCCAGATAAAGCTAAATTTGGAATTATCATTATTAAAACAAGAAACCCAAAGGTTGTTACAATGGCAAAGGGATTTCTTACTCTTGATGTTTGTTTTCAAACCCTCTTAAGATTAATGTACTTCATTTCCAGGTTAAGCAAATTAGTCTCAAAGAGTTAGATTGCTTGGTGAAATCTGAGATCCCTGAGGCCTTCCCTTCCCTTGATCTTTCCCCTCAGACTTCGTTTCTTTGTCATGATACCTGCTACAGGCTGTTTGGTCTCATAAATGTTTGTCCTTATCTGCTCATCCCTGCCATTCTGTAGGGCCATGTCTTTCTGTTTTGCATTCCACTTAGACCTCAAGAAAAAGAACTAGCATTTATTGAATGTTTAGTGTATACCTAGCACTTTACACTTTTATATTATTTGTATTTCACAATTATTTTGTGAAAGCAGTGCTATTATTTTCATTTAATAAATGAAGGCTTTGGAACTTAGAAAAGCTTGTCACAAATGCACAGCAGCTTGGCATGATTCTCATGCCCACATTCCCTCCATGTGCCCTACTGTATACACACTCAATACATTTTTGTTGAAGGAAAACAAATATCACTATAGTGTAGCTATTGTGAAATATCTTTCCCTCAGGGAAATAGTAAGGTAAATGCAGAATGTGCCTTAAAGTGAGGTTCCAGGAATGCTTTCTGAATGTCAAAAACCATGAGAAGAGGGAGAAGGGGGAGAGAACTTTACAAGTCCACCTTATATTCTGAGGCCATCAAAACAGCCTCTCCTATCAGAAAACTAACATTTAAAGCCAAAGCTGGCTTAAGAGGCATGATTTTTACCCTTTAGTACATAAAAAGTACCTTACATTCAGTTAGCCAGGAGAAATTATTTCAGTTTTATTTCTGGATAATTGAGTAACACTTTGGTATGTGATTCACAGCCAAGTGGACGTCGTTAGTCCCACACAGCTGTAGTTGGGGATGGCGAGAGTTATTTACTGGGAAAATGATAATGCAAGTGGATGTTGTACCGAACCCAAGGGCGAGATAATTTCCGTTGTGCTGCTTCACAGGACTGCAGTTAGAGTGTTCGGTCAACCCGTTGGTAGAGTCGATGTATTTGATGCTAATTCACGGGATAAAGTTAGAGAAAAGGACCATTTATCTTCCTTTTAAATTAAATCAAATGGGGTAAATGTTCAGACCCAGTCAATTTCTATTTTTCATATTCACAGGATACTTTTTAAGCGTATAGAATATATCTTTCCTTTGTACTTATTTAACTGAAATGTTTATACTTTGACTCAGTAATCTCACTCCTGGGAATGCACACAAAGGAAATTCTTTAACATAAGAAAAGCAGCAATAGGCCTATTTTTTCAATATTATTTGTAATCATGAAACACTGGAAAAAACCTAAATGTCCAGCAATCAATGAATGCCTAACAAATTATGGCATATCCTCTTAAGGGAATCATTATGCTGCAATCAAATCATAATTATGAAGGTCATTTAATAAACAAGTTTACAAAACCATGTAGCAAGATGAGAAATGTTTATGATGCCCAAATAAGTGAAAAAGTAGATTGCAAGTTTAGCTAAAGTATCTTGTTTTATGGTTTGGGGTGCAATTCATATACCTTTGTTTGGTGCCTCTGGCAAGTAGTGTCACAAAGTCCAGTTGTTATTGTCCAGTCACTAAATTATTTTGGACTCCTTGTGACCCCATGGACAGCAACACATCAGGCTTCCCTGTCCTTCACTATCTCCCTGAGTTTGCTTAACTCATGTGCATTGACCATCTCATCCTCTGTTGCCCTCTTCTCCTCCTGGCTTCAATCTTTCCCAGCATCACAGTCTTTTCCAATGAGTCTGCCCTTCACATCAGGGGGCCAAAGTATTACAGCTTCAGCATCAACCCCTCCAATGAGTATTCAGGGTTGATTTCCTTTAGGATTGACTGGAATGCTGACCAAAGGAACTCTCGAATCTTCTCCAGCACCACAATTTGAAATCATCAATTTTTCGGTGCTCAGCCTTCTTTATGGTCCAACCCACACATCCATAAATGACTACTGGAAAGACCATAGCTTTGACTAGATGGACCTTTGTCAGCAAAGCCGTGTCTCTGCTTTTTAATACACTGTCTAGGTTTGTTTAGATTTGACAGGCTCATGACTAAGTCCTCAGCTCTCTCCTCATAATGTGATCAGAGATTCTCAAATGCATTCCAGTGAACGAGATTTGGAAGAAGTCTGTTCAACTTCAGTAATCTCTCTCTGTGTTCCTTGAGCTGAAGGTTGTTAGCTTCTGAACAGAATACAGTCTTTTCTGGCCATGTCCAAAGGAAAGTACCTGGGGGAAAGTCTCCTGCTTCAGTAGGTGTCAGAGGGGCCGAGATGATGTTTACTCTCCAATAACACTTGGCAGTGGGAACTTTCCGCCTAAATAGATAGAGGCCTTGTCTGCAGGTGCTGTTCATTATATCACCCACTTATGCCTACAGAACATAAAGATGCCACAGAGTTGTAGAGTCAGGAAGGTATCTAATGTCAATTGCCTCCTAAGCCAATGTTGTTGGAGACAGGGGCTACAGTGCCATCGTGGGGAACTTGGAGAAAAGCCTATTTGAAAGCATGTGGCCAAACTACTTCCAGGAGGAAATGGAGGTCATGGAACCAGTACAGCTACTAAAGCAGAGATGATTGGAAATTGCCAAACATCAAGGAAATTCTGAGGAGGCCTCAAGGTGGCAGGAAGGTAAATACTGTTCTCAGGATATAGCTGCATTCCTATGTACGGGTTCTGACCATGAAAGCCCCACTGGAGCCCTCTTCTAATTATAGCAAGTTCTTCAATGGAAGACTAGTCCTTTATTGTTATGCTTACCTAAGAGAATTCATCCATTAGGAATCTGAGCCCCAAGTATACAAGTTCATTGTACATTTAGCTCTTGTTCACATACACATGCAGTCCCTTCCTGTGGAACAAGACTGAAATAGGAGTCATTCTGCCCTGATACAGAATCAATGGACCCCTTCTGCTTGTCATCTTTGCTCAGAGCAGAAAAATCCTTTTGATTTCAGTACTCTTATACTTTTTAATCTGTCTTTACCCTCATGGAAACAAAATTTAGGAATTTACAGTCTTTAGACCTGGTTGTAGCCAACTTAACCCACCTGATAGAGCTCCTTCCTACAGATCTCCAAAGACGGATGTTAATTGACTTGCTTCTGCTATGCCCCCAAACCCTGAATATCATATTCAAGTTTGTCCTTCCACTCCTCAGAGTTTTCATCCACAGGAAAGGGCAGAATTTGATTAATTGAAAAGATCCTCCTACTCCTTTTTTTCCAGAAAAAGAGAGACCTGGAATGTTTGCTCCAGGATATCCCCACATGCATGGTGTGCTGGCCACTGAGTCTTGGGTGAAGGAGGAGGAAAAGCAGGAAATGGAGGGAAAGGAAGAAGAAGAAAGGAGCAAAGATGACAAATGGGGGAGAAGAAGAAGAAATGGGAAAAAAAGAAAAGGAGATGAGATGAAAAAAGAAAGAGGAAGAGATCCCTTTTGGAAAAATTGTAACTTAAAAGCACTCTGTGTATGGAAGAATAAAGAGAGAAGATACAGAAAAGATGTGTTGGAATTTCAGACTAGATTTTCTTAATATTTTTCACTTTGATATTACTTGAATAATGGAGTGGGAAAGCAATTCTTGGTGAGATTGAGTGCTCAAAATGATACATTGGAAAATTTTGACCAAGAGAACAAAGACCTATATAGTCCAGCCTAACTCTGCCATTTAAATATGTGACAGACAAGTCATTTAACCTTTCTATGCTCAAACTCATTTTAAAAAATCTGTTTCTAACAGAAACTAATGGAACGTTTTTTTCCATTTATTTTTATGAGTTGGAGGCTAATTACTTTACAATATTGTAATGGTTTTTGTCATACATTGACATGAATCAGTCATGGATTTACATGTATTCCCCATCAAACACATGAAAAGATGCTCAACATCACTCATTATCAGAGAAACGCAAATCAAAACCATAATGAGGTACCATTATACGCCAGTCAGGATGGCTGCTATCCAAAAGTCTACAAGCAATAAATGCTGGAGAGGGTGTGGAGAAAAGGGAACCCTCTTACACTGTTGGTGGGAATGCAAATTAGTACAGCCACTATGGAAAACAGTGTGGAGATTTCTTAAAAAGCTGGAAATAGAACTGCCATATGACCCAGCAATCCCACTTCTGGGCATACACACCAAGGAAACCAGATCTGAAAGAGACACGTGCACCCCAATGTTCATCGCAGCACTGTTTATAATAGCCAGGACATGGAAGCAACCCAGATGCCCATCAGCAGACGAATGGATGAGGAAGCTGTGGTACATATACACCATGGAATATTACTCAGCCATTAAAAAGAATTCATTTGAATCAGTTCTAATGAGATGGATGAAACTGGAGCCCATTATACAGAGCGAAGTAAGCCAGAAAGATAAAGACCATTACAGTATACTAACACATATATATGGAATTTAGAAAGATGGTAACGATAACCCTATATGCAAAACAGAAAAAGAGACTCAGATGTATAGAACAGACTTGTGGACTCTGGGAGAAGGCGAGGGTGGGATGTTTCAAGAGAACAGCATCGAAACATGTATATTATCTAGGGTGAAACAGATCACCAGCCCAGGTTGGATGCATGAGACAAGTGCTCGGGCCTGGTGCACAGGGAAGACCCAGAGGGATCGGGTAGAGAGGGAGGTGGGAGAGGGGATCGGGACTAATGGAACTTTTTCATCAATGACTGTTCTGGCATTATGTTTATGATTTTCGTTGAACAGAAGACTAAGGTAACAAACTTGGTTAAGTATTGGATTGGATTTGTTGAAATGGAGACCAAATCAAAAACAAAATTTAGTTATTCTAAGATACTGAAAGAGTAAAGAAATTGCCAAAAAGATGCTAAGAAAGGATTTGGTGTATAAAGAGCAAAGAACCAAGAAGATATAACGGACAGCACAGAATTCAAGTCTAGAAAAACCAAGAAATCTCCAATTTCTACACCTCACCCAGTGTTTAAATCCTCCAACTTAATCCAGAAGCCACTTCAAGGGAGCAAAAGGGAAGAAGAAGGATAAGAATAAGAAGGAAATGAGAAGGTGGCTCTGCTACACAAATTATGAAGTACTCCACGGAGGAAAAAAAAAGTAATTCTCCTAGAATTACTAGGAGCAACTAGAGCAACTAGAGCACCTCCACTGTTGGTCTTGTATATAGGAATTCTGCCTCCTCCACACACACCACCCCTGTCCCCCCCCCACCCCCCAAAAAAAGTTTCATTACTTCAAAATAATTTTGAAAACCTCTGGTCTGTATTATACATCTTCATTACTATTTATGTCTATAGTATAGCATCCAAAACAGAACAATACCACAACATTACCCATTAAAAACAATAGTGACCCCTTATATAATGCCCTTCAATACTTAGAGGGAGTCTTTTGTTTTTTCTTCTGGTTTGTTTGGCAGTCACAAAACTTGTCTTCCCATCCTTGTATGGAACAGTTATTGAATGAAACTGTCCCCTAGGAAGATGTGTAAATTTGGGTGAAGCAGTTTTTTTTTTCCCATTTATTCGTTGGAGGCTAATTACTTTACAATATTGTAGTGGTTTTTGCCATGCATTGACATGAATCAGCCATGGATTTACATGTGTTCCCCATCCTGAACCCCCCTCCCACCACCCTCCCCAAGTTTAAGATTTATATAAAAACTGCAAAGATAACACAGAAAGTTCCCATATATTTCATATACAGTTTCCCCTTATTAATCTCTTTGGGTAATATGGAATATTTGTTTTAATTAATGAAACAATATATCAGTTCAGTTCCGTTCAGTCATTCAGTCGTGTCCGACTCTTTGTAACCCCATGAATCACANGACTCGATGGACGTGGGTTTGGGTAAACTCTGGGAGTTGGTGATGGACTGGGAGGCCTGGCATGCTGCGATTCATGGGGTCACAAAGAGTCGGACACGACTGAGCGACTGAACTGAACTGCACTGAACCCTGGAAGGGACTGTGAAGCACACTATGTCCTGTAGTTCACACCTCGTAGCTCTAAGATCACTTTGTTTCATATAATAAATTTATTACACCTGGGAACAGCTCTTCCAGGATTCTAGTTGGTCTCGTGAAACTTACAGAAAAGGGTCAAGGAACTAACTGGGCTTGATCCTCAGCTTCGTCCTCTTGCTCAGAAGATGGGAGCTTCTTTATATGCTATTGAAGTACTCTGATTTTCAATTAACCTTAAATTGGTGACAAATTACTCAGAAGAATTTATCATAATTTTTCCAATGCACTGATTGTTTCAACCAATAGCTATCTAATTTCTTAGTTTTTATAAGAACTACCTTTCCTATCAACACTTAATTAATGATGAATGCCAATGATGTTGCTCCAGTCAATGCATTTTCTTCCACAGTATCCCTCCCAGTTAAGTACTAGTGAAAATTTTAAAATTCTACTGGTATCATGTCCCAGGAGCTGTCAATATTGCTCTTATGGTCTGTGGTCAAGTCCTCATGACCAGCCAGTTAGACACAGATCCAACTCCAAAATCACATTCAACATCTGCTTCTAAGGACCACTTCTGGCACCAACTATTAGAGCTTGAGAGCCCTAGGAAATGGACTCTACCATGGAGATTTGCATGCAAGAAGTTAGTTACCAGTGCTTTTGATAATAACAATTGTCAAGAAATCATGAAACAGAACTGGGCATAGGAACAAGTTGAACCATAATGCACTTCCAACAGGGAGTTCTGAAGTGGGGATGGTCCTTTGCAGGGATTGCAAATCGAAGCAACTATAGTCCCCCATGAGTAGTCATTGGATGTGGGTTGCCCTGTTATAGAGGAAGCATAACTTTTAATAGCCCCCATCAGCAGAGAGCAAAGCTTAGGGAATTTCTCAGCTCTGAGACATCAACCATCCCTCCCAGAAGCTAATGAAATGAGGGGCTTCGTTCTTGTTGGTGGGATTCCAGTGGTATATAACAGCATACACTACAATATTCTTCTTATTCTTGCATTTTTCTTTACGAGTATCATCAGTGACCAGAGTTACTTGTGATCTCCAGATAAAAAGACAGAGATTGGAAGTTTGGGATTGACATGTACACACTGCTATATTTAAAATAGATAATGAAAACAAACCTACTGTAAGAGGAAGGAAGGAAGGAAAGAAAGGCAGTTTAGTGAGAAGCATTGAAAACAGCCAAAGAGGCCCATGAAAAAAGTGAGAGAAGCTTCAGAAAACAAGATTCAAAAATCATTTTTACAAAGAATGCTTATTCTAGCACTCTTAGAGGGGTTAATGGTTCACCATAGGCTTGAAAGTTTTTACCACTGAAATTAGTAACTAGCTGCTTATCATCACCCTAAGAAAACAGATGTTGAAAAATCAGGAATTTCAACCCAAGACATAGGAAAGGTTATAAATAATGAAGATTGGACAGCCTCAGATTTAATATTAAGGAGATTATGGAATATTTTTGGAGATATTGAAAAATTAAGTCTATTTTTATTTGTGTGTTTGTACTATGGCATAATAACTACCATCTACTGAGTGCTTACTCAGTGAATTGAATGAGATATTAGCCTAGGCATTTAATTATACCATTTACTTTATACACTCTTCCTGCATTTTGCACGTGTAATTTGTTTAATTCCCACACACTCTAAGATAAGTATTAAAAACAATTCCACTGTTGGATATAGGAGCATATTATAGAATTAATTGAAGATAAAAAGCTTTGAATGCACAACAAATTGGTAACCATTTCTATCAGCTCACTGTATCCTGAGTTGATTATAAACTATAAGTATGGGATTCCAGTGGTATATAACAGCATACACTACAATATTCTTCTTATTCTTGCATTTTTCTTTACGAGTATCATCAGTGACCAGAGTTACTTGTGATCTCCAGATAAAAAGACAGAGATTGGAAGTTTGGGACTGACATGTACACACTGCTATATTTAAAATAGATAATGAAAACAAACCTACTGTAAGAGGAAGGAAGGAAGGAAAGAAAGGCAGTTTAGTGAGAAGCATTGAAAACAGCCAAAGAGGCCCATGAAAAAAGTGAGAGAAGCTTCAGAAAACAAGATTCAAAAATCATTTTTACAAAGAATGCTTATTCTAGCACTCTTAGAGGGGTTAATGGTTCACCATAGGCTTGAAAGTTTTTACCACTGAAATTAGTAACTAGCTGCTTATCATCACCCTAAGAAAACAGATGTTGAAAAATCAGGAATTTCAACCCAAGACATAGGAAAGGTTATAAATAATGAAGATTGGACAGCCTCAGATTTAATATTAAGGAGATTATGGAATATTTTTGGAGATATTGAAAAATTAAGTCTATTTTTATTTGTGTGTTTGTACTATGGCATAATAACTACCATCTACTGAGTGCT